ACTTCTGTGTTTTTCCCCAACGCAGAACAGGACGTCAGAGGACACACATGTTTGGAATGTTAAGAATGTGATTGAAAACGCAGATGATCAGTTATGTGTGGATGCAAATTATTTTATAAACGGTGGGGGGGAAATGTTCGGTTTTAAAAATACCCGGCTATGTGTGGACATGGCCTAAAACTCATCCAGTGAGAAACGCTCTGTGGTGCAAAAATAAATACTATCAAAATGCGTACATTTTTTTACACGCTCATTTTTGTGTAATTAATTCATCTTAATTTCACGCATTAAAGTCCCGGCCCTAATTACGATCTATTATTTAGATATCTCATAAAGATTCACCCCATAGACCAGATGTGAGCTAGCGGCGTGTTGAGTTAGCCATAGCAAGGGGTAATCATCAGAATCAGAATAATTTTTATTGCCACGTAAGTAACAGGAAGTCACAGACTTGGAAATTGCTTTGGCTCAGTGCAACAGTCAGAAAGAGATAATAAAAATAAATAATAAAAATAAAGAATAAAAAAACACTTCTAAAGAATAAATGTAAATTTAAAATAGAGTTACAGTTACTATTTACAATATACAAGTGCACATGGTGCACACAATGTAAGGTGACAGCAGTACAATGAAGTAAAGTGACGTATGATGGGCAGTAAAGTGACTTTATAAAGGGCGGGGGGACAGGTTAAGAAGTGTTCAAGAGTCCAACAGCAGAGGGGAAGAAACTGTTCTTGTGGCGGGAGGTTCTAGTCCTGATGGACCGCAGTCTCCTGCCTGAGGGCAGTGGTTGGAATAGTCCATGTGCAGGGTGAGAGGGGTCGGCTGTGATACGACCAGCCCGGCCTCGAGCTCGGGCGATGTACAGGTCCTGCAGCGATGGAAGGCTGCGGCCGATCACTTCCTCTGCAGAGCGCACAATGCGCTGTAGTCTCTGTTTGTCCCTGACTGTGGCTCCAGCGAACCACACGGTGATGGAGAAGGTGAGGATGGACTCGATGATGGCCGTGTAGAACTGCACCAACATCTGTGCAGGCAGCTTGGCTTTCCTGAGCTGCCGCAGGAAGTACATCCTCTGCTGGGCCTTCTTGATGAGGGAGCTGATGGTCGGCTCCCACTTGAGGTCCTGGGTGATGGTGGTGCCCAGGAAACGATAGGACTCCACAGAGGTGATGGGGGAGTCCATCACGGAGGGTGGGGGCGGGGGGACAGTGCTCTTCCTGAAGTCCACAATCATCTCCACTGTCTTCTGGGCGTTCAGCTCCAGGTTGTTACCACTGCATCAGGACACCAGCCGGTCCACCTCCCTCCTGTAGGCGGACTCATCGTTATTGGAGATGAGTCCAATGAGGGTGGTGTCGTCCGCGAACTTGATCAGCTTCACGGAGTCGTGGCTGGAGGTGCAGTGGTTGGTGTACAGCGAGAAGAGCAATACCCATTGTGTTGTTAGGATTTAGGCAGACAGAGACGGATCGTGGTGTGCCAAACTCTGGAAGTTTATTTAAGTTTCTCTCAAGTTCCAATGGTTTACTCTGTTTCTTTCTCTCAGACAGAATAAAGGCAGTACACAGTTTATATAGTCATTGTCACGTCACACATCGAAAGACATACGTGTCACAAAGAGACAGTCACATCATAGTCATAACATGGAGTCCTTGTAGAGTCCTTGTACAGTCCTGCACGTAGGCCATATTGCTATCTAATACTAACACCCTCCCCTTTGATCACATAATCACATGTGATCATTCAATTTGATCAATCAATAAAGTGGAAAAAGAAAAAAAAATTCCAAAAAAAAACTTCAAAAAATTATTAAAAACAAAGAAAATGTATGCATTAAACTCATAATCATCAAATCAATATCAGTGGATTTTATCCTCTATACTGGGAAAAAATAACAAACAAAAAACAAACAAAAATAAAAACAAACAAAAACTATTGGACACACAAGAACTCAGCAGATTCAGTCAAAACACAGACAAAAATCGAGCTGAGTCTCAATTTGAAGCTAATTTCACTTTTCTTACTCTATACTTTTATTCTAATGCTAATTGTTTACACTACACTTATTTCACTTTATTATTTTCACTTTTCAATCTTAGACTGTGTACTTTACTTTCACTATTCACTATAGTTTAAAACTATTCTAATCTATTTACAAATATGTTTGCATATTTGATTCTATTGAGCCATATTCTTAAACATACATTTTAATCTAATAAATCTCTCTATTCTGTGGTTTTATACTCTCATTATCAGTGGGATTTTGCTCCATCTATTCTCATTCTCAGGAATAAAACTGAACACAGTAAGGCAAATGGTCAACATTTACACTTCTATAGTGGTCAGTGATTTATTACTTTTTATTATCTCAAGATATTATTGTCAGGCAGTTTGGGATGAATGTACATCATTAATCAAATTAGTATTATCCTTACAAGAGCTAATCTATTTTAGCAGGTTTGGGGTTGGGGTCAGTTATTCTACAATGGTGTTTGATTCTCTAATCTCTATTTCTGAAAGCATCTATGGTTGATGCATTTATCTAATTCTATTTCTACACTATTGTTTAACTCCAAAGCTCGGTTGCAGCTTGAGCAAAGGCATATTTCTAATTTGTGACTTCTGTCACTTTCAATATCTGTAACATAATTCTGATTCTAATATTTTAGCTGATCTATCAAAAGGATAACATTGTAGGGTACTATTTTAACTCTTACGTGGAAATGTGTTTATGAACAACAAAGGAAGTCAAATTCTACTCTTTTACTACTATTTGACATCTAATAAAACACTACAATACTCATACTTTATCATTTTCAAAGTTTTTGTCTGTCAGATGTCTGAATACTTAACATGTATATTGCATTTGCCACAGTTGTGGTTCTGGTTGTAGCAATAGCATCGGCAATAGACGTTTTCATTGGCTGGTTCTTGTTCTGCAAATGTCTGTGTCCAATAGATCATCAGATGTCCAGTAGCTAGGGACAAACAAAAACAAAAGAAAGAATCATGAGTATCTCTCTCATTTAGCACACATCAATGGCATGATTTTAATAATATAAACATCACTCCCCAGTTTTTCTCTCTCAGGTCCTCAGGTCCTCAGGTCCTCAGGTCCCCTGAGGGTGAGTCTCAGTCGTCATCAGGTCAGGTCATATAGAGATGTCATCTTGGACATCAGTAGGGTCCAAGCCATGGTTCTGGTCACTCCAGTTGGACATCGGATCTCCAGATACAGTCTTTTCAGTTGAAGCACATCAGGTCATTTGCGATGCACTTCTGGTCAATGGTGCAGTCTCACAGTTCCTGTACACAGCTTGTAATGCAATAGTTACTTTCTATGGTTAAGTCACTTTGATTCTAATCCTAATCAATTTCTATTCATGCTGTTGCTTCTGTCCCTCAGACAAAAGCAAGCGCAATGATTCAGTTTACTTCTCTAATTTGTGTTTTTATCAGATCTAATTCTCATCAATGTAATTACTTCACACAGTACAAAATCAACAAATCAAAAGTGTCAGGACAGAGATCAATTATCTCCATGACAATATAGAATTCAAATGAACATTTCTGGTCTCAAAAAATACTGATTCAACTAAAGATTCAAGTGATAGACAATTAAAAATATGTGTTTACATTGGAGTAAACTTTTAAAATGCTTTTTTCTCATGTTCTGCTTTTTCATGTATCTATATGTAAATGTGAATGTGTGAGTGTATGTGTGTGTATGTGTGTATGTGAATTTTGGGGTTGTTTCTCCAGACTCCTCGAACCACCTGTAGGTGTCAAAGGTCACACTGTGGTGATGCAAACCAACTGGACACACTTTCAACTCTCCTCCAGGTCTCTGCCTGATGCTCCACCATCACGTCTCCAGATACCTCTCTTTCATGGCCCCGGTCTCACTCCCACTTACTTCTGTAGTGGGGGGAGGGGCAAGGAGGTGGCATTTCCCTTTGCTCTTAGCTCTGTGACCTGTGGCTGGGTGGGCTTTGCGCTGTCCAGTGTCCAGCAGTGACCTCTCGTACAGTGAGGCAGAGTCTGAAAAACAATCCTTGAGACGGCCAATTTAAAAAAACAATAGATATCAGTATGCAAATGAGATTTGCATTTTGTTTTTCTCCCTAAAGTCAAAACAATTTTGGAGCGCTCTGGGTTTTCCCAAGCGCTATGTAAATAAAAGATTACTTATTATCTTACTAATGATGACATTTTAAAACCAGAAACTCTTAATATAAAAAAACAAGACTCAAATCTAAAAAAAACTTTAAACTTTAAACTATGTATTATATACTTTTGTACTGTGTGATTAATTATCCATGAACATTTATCTCATCATTTATTTTACTAATTTAAAATAATTGCAGCATTTTTCAAATGAAGTCAGTATGAATTGGAGCACATTTTAGACCAGTCTCCTCTGCTGTGGCATCAGCAGGAGCAACAAGGTCAGGCGTGTAGTCAAAACAAAAACAAAAGTCACCACTTGCATGTGAATTGGGTAGTTTAACTTAATACTAACACCGTCAATAAAATGAGGTGTGCGCAAGACCAACTCGACAGCGTGGACCTTTGCGTCCTGCTTCACTACAAACTCTCCCTGTAAATACTTTCACTGTAGCGCACATGGGTGTGTAACGCCGTCAAACTAGGAAGACCCAGAAAATTGTAAAAGCTCATAGGATTTATTACAAAAGTTTAAGCATATGTAATGAGTTGTTTAATTGCAGAAAATGAAGGGGGTAGAAGTGAAAGGGCCGAATTATCTAGTTATTGAGAATGAGAGCGATGGTGGTGTTCCCAAAAAGAAACAAAACTTTATTAAAATTACAGTATTTCTTAAATAAGAATACAAGAATAAAAGTTGTAAAAGTTCTCTAAAAAGTCCTTCGTTAAAACCTAGGAACCTCTGGTGTGGAGGCTCTGTGGGGATTGCCGCAATGGCTGAGGCCGAAAGAGGACCAGAGGCGGCTTGACGGCACTAGTTCCCAGTCCGTATGCCACCACCGCTCTGGACCATGGGCTGGGGCTTCTGGGGGGAGAGAGCCCCTTGTGGCTCCGTTGGCTTCCTCCTGTCCCTGCCCCTGCGGCTCCCGTGGCTTCATCCTACTCGTGGCTCCCAGAGTCAGTTTTAAGCTCCTGCCTGCCCATTCACGCAGGTGCGGTGATTGGGAGGGACACCCGGTTGGTTGGGAACACTCAGGTGGTCGGGGTAGCAAAGGCACACGGGTCATTAAAAGTACAGCAAACACACACAGCAATACAAAATAAACAAAAAAACCACAGTGCCGGTTTACACATTGATTAAAAGCTAGAGGGGAATTTGATGTAAGTTAGAGAAGAGAAGCTTGAGAGAAAAAGACCTGACATGCTTGCAATACCACCCCGGGCCAATGGGGGTGGACCCAGAAGAAGAATTAGCCAATGCTAACATATAGCATTGGCACACCTCTCGAAAACGTCTTTCGGGTGAATTTTTTTGGATCAGTCTAGTTTACTTGCTGTGAATTTTTGAATTCTCTCGTTCAAATGAATGGAGCGTTCGCCGGCTGGCGCATGCGCAGATGTGTTTTTTCACAATTTTCTTGTGGGCGGGACCACTCGCGGCCATTTTGGATAGCTCCAGTAGAGAACTATTTTTGGCCTATTAGTTAGAACGGCGGAGATAGGCGTGACTCTCCAAGTTGTTCGCTGCCAAACCGGGAAGGACTGTTCTAGTCAAACATCTTATCCGCCTGAAAGACAAGGGGCCAGTTAGGCAGCGGTGCTACCGTGCCACAACATCTTGTAGCCCAGCTGCTGAAGGAGGTGGAGGAGATGCAGTGCCTGGATGTGATTGAGCCATCCCAGGCAGAGTGGTGCAACACCTACCCAATGCCCGGATTGATAACCTCCTGGAGAAGATCTGCCAGCCCAGGTTTACTACCATCATTGGCCTCTGCAAGTGTTACTTGCAGGTGCGATTGGAATACAATACAATACAATACAATACAATTTATTCTTGTATAGCCCTAGGTCACAACAGAAGTCATTTCAGAGGACTTAACAAAACCATTGAAATCACCAACACAGGTCAGAGAATCAACAGTTAAAACACATGAAGAATATAAAGCACACACAGAAGAAAATGTCCATACATGTTGTAGAATGCTAAAGTGTCCTGATCATCACCAATCCTTTCTGTTGGACACTAACTGTCCAACAAGACCCTCCTGCATCGACAAGGAAAAACTCTTAAAAAACCCAGTGGGAAAAAGTGAAAAACCTTGGGGAGAACTAGGGAAACCCACAGGGAGGGAGACCCATATGAGAAAGGGATCCGCTCCTCCGGACGGACAGGCTAATGATCCAGGACCTAAGCTAGCTACAGAACGTGGACCAGCGGCCGCTGAACGTGGACAGGTCCGGTGCAGGACTGAAGCACTCCCAGGCAGGTCGGGCGGGGCAGTCCGCAGGTGTTGATGGAGGAGGCCAGGCTCGGAGATCCCGTCATCGTACCATGAAACAGACAATGGGACAACGGGTGAATAGCAATGAACAAACTACAGTCAAAATCCTAAAAATGCTAAACAGATAAAGTAGGAAGGAGGAGAGGATAGTGCTCAAGTTACCATACTTCTCCCAGCAAACTGACTACCTATGCAGCTTGACTGACAGTCTGAGGAGTTTAGCCTTCCCTGAGTCTTACCTTCCTAGCCATATGCTAAACAAAAGAGGACTGTTTTAAACCTAGCCTTGAATAAAGAGAGCGTATCTGAAAGGAGGCGAGACAACAGCAGCCATGGCTAGGCTAGTCTAGGCTACAGCACCAAGATTCATGGATTGCACACCAGGTGTGCAAACCGATCCAAGCAAACCTAATTATATATTATATATCATATATATCCCATGTACCATACATATTATATATATCATATGTAATACACAACATAACATACAGCATAATATATAACATAATATACAACATAACACAATACATAACATAATACATATATTGTATAATATATAACATACTGTAATACAGCATATATATAATATATACACCATATATTATATATTACCTAATTATATGCTAAATTAAAGTAGAGTGCTTTAAGCCTGGCCTTGAATGTGGAGACCGTATCTGCTTCCTTAACATAAATGGGAAGCTGATTCCACAGTAAAGGAGCTTGGTAGCTAAACGCTCTGCCGCCAACAGTGATTTTTGAGACCTTAGGAACCACCAGACGTCTGGCGTTTTGTGAGCGCAACGCTCGACTTGGTTGATACGACACTAACGTGTCTTGGAGATAAGAAGGGGCCAAGCCATTTATGGCTTTATATGTTAAGAGAAGGATTTTAAACTTTATTCTGTACTCCACAGGGAGCCAGTGGAGTGATTTTAACACCGGAGTTATGTGCTCCCTCCTTTTGGTACCTGTTAAGATCCTAGCTGCTGTATTCTGAACGAGCTGGAAGCTCTTCAAAGAGGTTTTAGGGCATGCTGCCAATAAAGCGTTACAGTAGTCGAGCCTTGAGGTGACAAACGCGTGAATACGTTTTTCCGCGTCACTTTTAGGAAGGAAATTCCTCATTTTAGCGATGTTCCGTAAGTGGAAGTACGCCGTACTTCCGAGAGTTCTCGGTCAAAAATGACTCCAAGATTCCTCACAGTGTTACTGGGTATAATACTGACATTATCGAGAGTGATTATCTGGTTAGTAAGGGAGTCACGCAGGCGCTTCGGACCGAGTAGGATCACTTCTGTCTTCTCCGGGTTGAGAAGTAGGAAGTTAAGAGTCATCCACATTTTAAGGTCCTTTATGCAGGCACTGAGCTTTTCTAGCTGATCGGTCTGATTTGGCTTCATCGACAGATAAAGCTGTGTGTCATCTGCATAGCAGTGGAAATTAATTCCATGCTTTTTAATAATGTTTCCTAACGGAAGCATGTAGAGAGTGAAAAGAATCGGTCCGAGTACCGAACCCTGCGGCACACCAAATTCTACTCCAGAATAAGGCGACGAGTTCTGATTTACGTTGACGAAGTGATACCGATCTGATAAATAGGATTTAAACCAGCCAAGGGCTGTTCCTCTAAGACCTATATCACATTCTAGCCTCTGCAGTAGAATGATGTGGTCTATTGTGTCAAATGCAGCACTAAGGTCCAGTAGGACCAGCACTGACACTTGTCCATTATCAGCAGCTAGTAGTAAGTCATTTGTGACTTTGACTAGTGCCGTTTCAGTGCTATGATGAGCTCTGAACCATGATTGAAAGACTTCAAACATATTATTTTCCTGCAGGTGGCAGCGAAGCTGCTCAGCTATAAGTTTTTCCAGGATTTTATATATGAAAGTGAGGTTTGAGATCGGTCTGTAGTTTGTAAGTATTTCTGGGTCCAGGTTTGTTTTCTTCAGAAGGGGTTTGATTACCGCGGTTTTAAAAGCTTGTGGGACATAGCCACATTGTATGGATGCGTTTATTATATTTACGGTAGGCTCAATTATCAAAGGAAGTATGTCTAAGAGCCATGTCGGGACTGCGTCTAACATGCAAGTTGAGGCTTTTGAGGATGTGACCACAGAGATCACCTCTGCTTGGCTCACAGCCATGAATTTATCGAGGCCCACTGAAGAGTCTAAGTGGGAAGTCACGTATGCCGCTTCAGCTTGTCCACTACCAACAGCAGGAGTAACTTCCTCCAGTTTGTCACGGATGGATGTAATTTTATTATTAAAGAAGTGGAGAAAGTCGACACTGCTCAGTGAGCTTGGAATTTTAGGCTCGATTGCGCTATGGCAGTTTGTGAGTTTAGCGACGGTGCTAAACAAAAATCTACTGTTATTTTTATTCGCTTCTATTAAAGTTGAATAGTATTGAGTTCGAGCCCTGCGAAGGGCATTCTTGTAGTTTCGGAGACCTGCTTTCCACTCCCTGTGGACAGGCTCCGAGTGGGAGTGGCGATATAGCCTCTCCAATTTTCTGACGTCCTGTTTTAAAGTGTGGAGTTGAACACTGTACCAGGGCGACGATGATCTAATCCTAATAGTTTTCTGTTTTAAAGGAGCTGCTGCATTTAATGCAGATTTTAAAGACTCCATAGTGTTGTCCACCGTTTGGTCAATGACTGAGGGACTGCAGCAGCTGTGAACAGGTTCACCTGCAGCATTATTCAACATAGGCTGTATTAGTTCTTTGAACCTTGGAAGCGTCCAATCGTCCCTACATGGTGGTCCAGGCTTCTGCCGGCCTTATCCAGTTCACGGTCTACATTGAGCACCACCTGAGGGACTGTGTGCTCAGCACCTGCATCATCTGAAGAGAGTCCTTGGCCAGATAGGGCAGGCGGGACTGACACTCAACCCTTCTAAGTGTCAGTGGGCCAAGGAAGAGGCGAAGTATCTCGGCAACCGGCTGGAACGAGGAGGGGTCCGACCACAGATGGACAATGTACGAAGACGTCATTTTCTGCAACAGTTTGTGTGTCCCATGTTGGTAGCTGCCTTGAAATATGCTTTTTCTCTTCAGCAATATCAACTTAATACAGTTTAACGAGCCATCTGATTTGGCCCCCGCCTATTTTGTTGTTTTTTCTAACTCTAGATTTTGTGTGCGATTATGCATCAGTACTACGAGGCTCCAAGCCAACACCATTCTGTACTGTTAGCACACCAGACTGAACCTGAGTAGAGTTGTGTTTCCTGTCACTGGATGCAGCGTATGACTTATCAGAATGGCCCTAGCACAAAGGAGGTGGGAACTTTCTTAGGCTTGGCAGGCTTGTATTGTCGGTTTGTCCCACAGTTCGCCCCCACCATCGCAGCTCCGCTGACGATGAAGGACCAGAGGAAGCCAATAGTCTGGAATGAGGACTGCAAGACCACCTTTCAGGCCCTCCTTCCAAGTCTTGCCTCTGCTCATTTCCAGTGTTTAGGAGCCTCAACTTCAGTCAGCGGTTCTTGGTCCAGACCAACGTCTTCTGCCATTGGACAAGCTGCAGTCCTGGCGCGAGAGACCAGGTACTCCACACACTGTGGAGAAAGAGGGTCCACTGAGGTACTACCTGCTGGAGAGGGAGTTTGACCCTGAGATAGACCATTGTGTGTTGACCTGGATGAACTCAAGGAAGGCCCATAACAGCAGTCTCACCTGCTGGTACCTCTCCCTTCAGCTGTCCCATTTCCAGATTTGCCATTGAGCTGGGAAGAACAATGCCGTGGCCAACTAACTACCTGTCCAGGTTACCTAGGTAAGGCAGTGAGTCATGATTGTATGGTTTTTCTGCACTGTATATGGGTTTCACTGTTTTTGGTTGGGAATAAAATCTCCCAAATCTGTGTTTCTATACAGTTATTTAAGTTAACATCACTATTTTGCATAATATAGTATAACGTTAAGTTATACTTAATTTGTCCTGTAGATAAATGTGTCTTCTGCATTTGACCCATCCTATATCATGAGCAGGGGTCGCTCTTCAGGACCAGAGCTAGAGGATTTTACATGTTTTTAGTGGTAGGGGAAACCAGAGCACCCGGAGGAAACCGAAGCATACGCAGGGAGAACATGCAAAGTCTCTGTTCGGGACTCGAAATCAGGACCTTCTTGTGCTCACCACAGCCACCATGCCACCCTTGTGTATACTGCATTAGTGCTACTCTCGGGTCAAAATTACCTGCCAAAGATGATCAACAATAGCAGAAAAATACACTAAATTAAGGTCTAAATGAGACAAAATGAGTCAAGTTAGGAAAAATCATCAAAAGTCAGCTGTTTTATTTTTTATCAATTGTGGTAGGTCACTTTGACTAAAAACTATTGTGGCTCTCTTCCTCTCATTTACCTCTGCAACTGTATTTTACAGTGTATGCACGGCTATTGACAGCTGCAGCAGCTCAGACCTACAACCAACCAGTTGGATATCTCTGTTCAGGTGGTTAGAAAAATATATAAAGTCTGTGTGAGGGGTTTTACAGCCTTAAAACATATAGCTGCAACTTCAAGGATTCCGCTTTTATTTGTAGTGCATTTCATTACATTACAGTAACGAGTATTTTATGTAATCCGTCCACAAGCAGCATCCCTCAACACGCTCCCGCTCCGAGGACTCCGCACCGGGCTTTCCTCGCACACTGCCCCATTTCCATCTGACCGACACCTCTCTGGACCAATCAGCACTCGTTTAGTGGCAAAGGCGGGCTTCTCTTTGCTCTCCTTCCAATCACGGCCCGCACTGTCCTGCGTGCGTCACGGTGGCTGTGAATGCATCCAAAATCGCCAATAACATCTCGCTCCTTATTCTTCTGTAAGGTTCTTTCTCGTAGCAATCAGGCTTTATTGCATTAAATAATGACCTTTATAGGATTGAAAGGTGTTTAATTGAACTTGGACAGACTTGAAGCTTCTCCTTCTAGTAACATATTAATGATGAAGGACACGAAAGGATAAGTGAAGACGTGTTGTTTGAATGCGACCAGCGAGTGGGAACGTGTGCCTGTGTGTGCGTCTCCCATCCCCCCTTTGTCCTCGTTACGTTGTCCTAAAGCTAGAGCCACCGGAGAAAAGCCCCGAACCGAGACCAGACCTGCCCGCGGTAAGACCCAGGATGTCCCAAAACACATGTGCACAGTTCTGTTGGCCACCCAGCACCCACAACTCACCGGGCACCCATTTCCTTTTGTCAAACCACGACACGCATCCCCCCACTGTTTGCACCGTGTTCACTCGACGTGGTTCGTGTGTTTAGCCTTTACTTTGCATTTTGACACCCCCGGTCTTTCAAGCCCGGTCATCGACACCCCACGGCCGTTTTGAATAGTTTTCTATCGACCTTGTGGTCACGTAAAGTCGTAATCGGTGAGTCGTTGTGGTTCTAAATATGGCGGCCGTCCGTTGGTCTGTCTTCTCGCCTCGTAATCGCCTCTAATCCCATGGCCGCGCGCGTGCGTGTGTGACTCTCCTCTGCGCGTGTACGTTTCTTTTGGTCCGTGCGCGCGCAGAGGAGGGGCTTACGTCAGTTAGGCGGAGAGCTCCGAGCGGCGTTCGGAGAACTTCGGCTATTTCCGGAGACGTCCCACAGGCCTTACGATGAGTTCAAACATTTAAATAATTAACGTCATGTAAGTGATATATCTGCTCTGGAGTTTGGTGTTTGTTTTAGTCAACGATTATTCGACTAATAAACGAATCATACATGTTTTTGTATTGATTGAGCTCATCTTAAAATATTGATAATAATGATGCATAAGGCATCGGCTTTTGGATACTCAGACTTCTCACAGCATTATTCATTCACTCCACATAGTTGTAGGTAAATGACTACTGTAGCCACAGCTGCCCTGGGCAACCTGACAAAAGCGAGGCAACTAATCTGGGCCATCAGTCCCTCCCACCAGCAACCATTCACACACAAGACTCATTTTTACAGCCGTCCTACTGTGGTAGCTGGTGTTCTCAGAGGTCTCCCATCACAGTACTAACCAGGCCCTGTCTGGCTTACCTTCAGAGGTCTGGCAGGATCTGGATTTAGCATGCAGGTGGAGCCACAATATTATCACAACCTTCAGTGGCTTGTCCCATAATTTGAGCCAAATTGTCAAAAAAGGTGTAGTAGCTCAGTGTTGTGTACATGCGCGTAGAGTCATTTGTTTTAATATTTCACTTGTTTCCAGCGAAATAAATACTCACCTCTCACAACTGTGTTTTTGTATTGCCCAAAATCACAACAGAAGGGCATCAGAGAAATGTTTATTTACCAACTGATCAGAAAACCATACAATTTGAATCAAACAGGTCAAAACATAATACACCAATGAATAACATTCATTGATTCATAAAGACCAAGAGAGAACCATAGTGAGAGTGGTCCACTCCCATGGACAGACTGTCTCCTGTAGATCTAGGACTGAGGCTGGAGATAATAATAATAATGATTAAAATGCATCAGTTTTTTTTGGACACTCAAAGACGCTTTACATGTCATTATTCTTTCACTCCATACACGTTGGTGATAAACTACTACTGCAGCCACAGCTGCCCTGGGGCACACTGACAGAAGCGAGGCAACCAGTATGTGCCATCGGCCTCTCCGACCACCACCAACCATTCACACCAGACTCATTCTAGGAAATGAGGGTAAAGTGTCTTGCCTAAGGACACAACGGCAGTTTGGCACTTTACAGCCGCAGCCGCCCCACTGTGGCAGGTGTTCCCAGAGGTTAAGTGTTTTGCCCAAGGACACAACGACAGTAGTCAGTGGGAGTCGATGATGAAAGTCTTGAGGTGGGCTCGAACGCTCTACCAACTGAGCTACTGTCGCCTCTGCGCCGGATCTCAGGCTGTAGATCTTTCTTGGATCTACAGCCTGAGATCCGGTACTCAGGCTGTAGATCCAGGAATCAGTATGTAGAACTGGGTCTGAGGCTGTAGATGCAGGACTGAGGCAGTGGATACAGGACTGAGGCCTCTTAGCTTGTGTTTGGGCCTTACCAGCTCATATCTGTGGAGAGATATGAGCTGGATTAGCATTGAATTCACTCGTTTGATTAAAATCTGAGGTGCACGACATCTCCCAAGGTAAAAAGCAGGCAGCAGATAAGCTTTAAGTACTGATTCCTGTAAAGAGCTTTAGACTTTGTTTTTGTGATGTGTCAATGTCCCACAAAGCGCTGAGATAGCAGTACATCAAACCTGTGAAGTGTTGAGAGCTTCACTGCGCATCAGTGATTCAGAGCAAAGAGATAATGTTTTTCAAACCTGCAGCAAAACAATTAGAAAAGTTAAAGACTGGGACATGACTCCAGATCTGTCTGTTGGAGACAAATGTGTTGGATGTGCAATCTTTTGAGTTAGCAAAGCAAATGCGAGATGAGCGGCAGAAACTCGAGGAGCACCTGTGTCCTGTATACACTCCACCTTATACACAACGCTACATCACACCATACCCTCCTGAACAGTATGGGCCGGTACTTTCAGTGTATACAGTTTTATAGAAAATATACTTGAGTTCACCTTTTGCACCTTTTGGAGCTTGCGATGTAATGGTAATTTATTTATTTTCATTGTATCAGTACAATTGAATAGGAACATTATACATGAATCAACATTGTAAATGTGCATGTTCAGTAAAGTTAGTTCAAACAAAAGTTTCTTCACTGGATATATTTGGTTAAGCAAATATGCTGCCTCAGAGGGAATAGCGTCTGGATTCAGAGCTCCCTGTTACTCCCTATGCTGCCTCAGAGAGAGCAGCGTCTGCAGTCAGAGCTCCCTGTAACTCGCTATGCTGCCACCAGAGCATTTCACATGAGAATTTACAATTATTTTTTTTACAGGGAATAGTAATAATTAGATTGTGATGTCATATTGGTCTCTCTTTGGTCTCTCTGATCACACATAGTGGTACATTGACATCATACTATTACAGGACCGAGGCAGGATGAGACAGAAGTTCCTGATATCCATGGATGGATCTAAAAATGATCTCTTCCTGACACGCGAAAACACGCCCACACCAAAACAAAAAAACATAAACGAAAACATGTTGATTTGACAATTTCATCACCACAGAGTTAGCCTCAAAACAGAAGAGGCTGATTTGAACATAAGCTAGCTGGAGCCAATTTCCTTATTTGGGCATTTGTTCTTGCTGTGTTAGCATTGAGATGTAAAAGGGGCAGATTTGTTTCTAAGACAAATGAAGGCATCTGATTGGTGAATCCTTATATGGCTCATATCTGGATTTACAAAGAGAATATCACAATATAAACACTAGGATCACACTAAACCACAGATTTAAGCCAAAATATGTGAGTGTGACCCAAACGGTTACTTTTACATGGAAGTCAACAGGAGCCAGAGCGAGGAGCCAAACTTCACCACTTCCTCGTTTGGATTTATTGAGCCAGCGGGTTCGCATTTTCAAACCTGTTCACAGTCTGTAGCAGAGGTCTCCAACCTTTGTTGATTTCAGAGCTGCTTTATAATTCAGAAATGGCAGAGAGCTTCTCTTTTATCAGTTGTAATAGATGTAGTCCATATAGCAAATCATGGAGAACAGACACGCTTAGCATACCTTTGCACAATAT